CATGGGCCTACCATGGCCCAAAGACACACACAGGTCAGCAAGCCCAATAAGGGAAGTAGCCATGGCATAATCTGTTGGAGTCAGGAGTAGTCTTGGGTCATTCCTCATGCACCCCATTGTTTCTTTAAGTTTTTGATGCATTGTTGTAATTCTTTAAACTTTGCCTTGACTTGCCTGATTGGTTAACAAAATAACAACACTCTTCACTTAGAGCCTGGCACGTTCCCCCTTGGGCTGCTGTCAGCATGTCAAGGGCATGTCTATTTTGGAGCATGGCAGCTGCTAGGGAATTAAACTGGTCCTGGACTGTATTTAGGGATTGGCTGATTTTGTCCATGTCTTCTGAGATCTCTATTGACAATGCCTGATAGAAATGTGTAGAGGTAGAGATACCTGCTATACCCATCACCATGCCAGTGAGGACCCCCACTTCCATCAAGGAGGGGACCAGGAGAGGAACCGCCCTCTTGTTGACCTTTGACCATGGGAGGATCCTTTCAAACATCTGGGATTCCATTATAGATGGTCAAGGGAGGGCTGGGAAATGCTATGTAACAGAAAATTTCAGATAAATTGAGGCATCAGAGTGCCTCCTGTCTGCATATGAAGTATAGGCCATTGGATAGGTAGACCAGGTGCTCTTCTGAGAAAAAGAGGGAGCAAGCAAGGCAAGTGATGTTATCTTTTTGCCCTGTGCATGCCAGATTAGTATTTTGTGTAGGGAATGGGAGAGAGTCACAGAACGGTGGAAACATAAATAAACTGTGGATACATTGCCAGTATTTGAGACAGACAGGTTAAAATCTATGGGGAAGGAAATTGGAGTGAACAAGTGGGGGTAAATGGATATATACATCCAACAGTCTGAGATATTGACAGGGAGATAGTTAGAGGGTAGTATTAAATAGGTGTTATAGCCTTTTTTGAGACTGGGTTATCTGGTTTACCACTTGGAGACCTATTCCTTTATAAGGAGGTAGAGTGGTGGGCCTCAAAAGTCTTTCTATTGCTAGTGCCTGTTCATTGACTGCCTCGTTTGGTTATTTTTTTTCTGCTGGGTTGTTAAGACCAATTTAAAGTGAGACTTGTGTTAGTCAATATGAACATCTTCCTATCTGTCAAGGTAAGTTAAGTCTCTAGGCGTTATTTTGGAACCATGCATAGAGCCTCTCAGCTCCCGTCAGTGTCAACTCTTAGGATGGATCATGGACTTGCTTGACCAACTTGCTTTCAGTAAAAGCATGGGGGAGTTTTTCTCTTGGTGACTCTTTTTTGGCACACAGTACATTTGTCCTCTGGTGTCCAGCAATCTCCCTGCTCAGGAGGTTGGGTGACTTACCAAAGATGTAAGGTGTTGTAGAAAAGGTTCCTTCCCACCTTGGATCTTTGATAACCTCGGAGGGCCAGGGCCAAATTATTGGTGGTCTTCTTAGCCTAGTTCCCTTTTGGTGTTGGTCTCTGCACTTTTGTGGTTGAACACCCATAAAGGAAGATCAGTGATGTCAGTAGTACAGTAGGAGCTTGACTATCATAACTTTATCTGGATAGCAAGCACCCTGGAATCTAAAGTATAGTTAGAGGGCGGTTATTTTTTATCAGTCATGGTTGTGCTAGTAGTTGATGTTCTATAGAATATTAACAGAAAAAACTTGGAATCAGGAGCCACATATAATAATAATATTTTAGCATGACAGTCATGATGACATTATCTTTGCAACAGATAAGTATCTTAGTATAAAATAGCCATTGTTAAATGTATTCATTCCCCTTTAAAAAATACATAAAAACAAAAAACCAGGAAACTCTTACTTAAGTTATTACCTTTTAATAGGGTGCCATCTAAGGAAAGTATATGGGCCTACAAATGTACCTGTAATCATGAGCAAGTGGAGTGGAAGAGAAGGGTGAATACCTGGATCAAAAGGTTATTGTCATAAACAATATGTTGGAAGATCTGTACAGTCAGAAAACATGAATACATTTTGCCCACCAAAAAAGTAGTAATAATAATTGTTATAATTATATGAAATCTTATGTCCTGTAATGTAGCTTGATACCAAAAGGATCTTTTTTTTCTTTTTATTGTGTTTATTGGTACATTTTAGGTATACAGCACAGTTACATTCATTATTAGGATCTTGTACATTTACATAACAGGTCTTGGTTCTCATTTTTTCCCCTTGTCCCTGTCCTCCCTTCACCGCCCCTCCCCTCTCCATTTACAAACACTTCATTTCCATTTTTTCATTTTCTCATATTTTTTTCTTTTCCCTTATTCCCCCAAAAGGATCTTTTCTAATAACACCTTGTTTTTCCATAGAAAATATATTTTGAAGACCCATATAAACATATCACAATAATATATTTAGAATTCAACCCTTTGATGATAATCAATGTAAACATTTTATAACAACATATTTAGCAATGATTTTGGGGAAATATCTTAATTATCTTAATTTTTATTTGACCTGTAAAACCAGGTTGTAGAAATTAACCATTTATTTGTATCTTTGACATCATTTTGATCAAAAAATATAATTGGACACTTTCAAACAATTGGAGAGACACAGACAAACATATAAGACAATGTATGAAACTAGAGTGCACTCAAAATATTTGGCCAATTGAATTATAATATCTCTTTTAATTAAGACTAGTCAAAACTTTTGCAGATCAATTAACAGAACCTCTCTTGCAATTAGAATAAGGAGTAAAACTTCTTTATAGCAGTAGTATAGTCTTGTGTTATAGTTATTGTCAGAAGTCTGTAAGCAGAAAGTAAAGTAAAGGTCAAGTTAATCCTATAATTACACTTTAAGAATGTGCAATGTAAGAGAATGCTTCAGATACATTGATTAAACATCTGGAAACCAAACACCAATCAAACATTTTAAGTTGAAGACAAAAGGTACATTTGTCAATTGCCAGAATTTATAATTTTGTTGTTGTTGTTGTTTCAAGATTTTCCTGCCTGGCAGGACATTGCAGCTGATTTTACTATGGAGCAATCATTCTGTAGCCAGCACTGGGCTGTAACCTAGCATTTGGTCTTTGAGCTCCAATCTTAAGTATTACATTTTCCTTGAATTGTTTTAAAATCTTATATTTTATTTTCCAATATTTATGTATAAAACAGTAGGGCCCAATGGAATTTCTTGGTCATGTAGCCTGCCAAACAAGGTGTTGATATGTAAATAGGCAGGGCCAGGAGAGGGTTTTGCTTTTATTTGCAGAGTCTTGCTTTTGGCTCTTTTCCAAGGAAGCTGGGGAAGGAAGAGCAAGCAGAGAAGTGGTTGTTAACTCACTCTCCTGTTTGGGAGGGGCTGGAGGAGCAGGGAGAGAGCAGGTGTGTGGTAGAGAGACACAAGATGGTGCAAAATGAGGAAGGGTCACAAGTTGGCAGAAGTGAAGAAGCACTGGAGGAGATGGAAGAGCTGGACGGGTTATAGGGTGGGGGAGGTGTGAGCAGTTAATGATTAGCCAGGTTGAAAGTGGGAGTCCAGAGGGGTGGAGGATGAAGTTTGGGCTAGAAGTACCTGAGAGGATGAACAGGTTTGACAGAGGGAGGGAGAGAGGGTAGGTAGAAGAAGGTTTGTATATAGGGGATTTCTGACCATTTGCCATTGCACTGACAAAAGCTGCACAAATCGTGCAATATGTTATAATCAAGACTGCCATTTTCTGGCCACTGAGATTCACTGTCTAATTTGTACTGAGGCCAAACTTGGTTGGTTGCAATTAAAAAATGAGCCATTTTCACTTAAATTCAGGTCCCAACAATCCAAAGGAGTGAAGTTGTGCCAGGAGACAGCCAAGAGGCATTGAGGGAGGGGGTTTAGATTGTTGGGTGCCCGTGTTAGTGTGGGTGAGGAGTTAGCTCCCTGGGAGGAGGGCATAAGAGAGGAATGTCTTCCTCTGTTTTGATACCCCCACAAGCCAGTCCCCAGAAGGGGAGAACGAGAGGAGTCTGGCCGATGGGGCATCCCCCAGGAGCATGGTCCTGGGCCCAGTGGCTCGAGAGGGTCTCTCTGACCAAGTGCTTAGATTTCCAAGAAGTCCCCAAAGGGAGAGAATGAGAACAAGACAGAGACAGAGGATCCGTGTAGAGGGAAGCTAATTTACTTACTCACTCTGAAATCAGTGACTGGTGTGGATGTGTATCGTCAGTAATGGCAAAGGCAAAGATCCCTGATGAGGTCCTGGCTGGGCAGATGTGGTCCGGAGGAGATGGCCGAAAGGTCAATTAACCCCATCCCGCGGAGCATTATCACTTAATCAACCACCTACCTTCCAGGTCGCAGCACCAGATATGTTAGGTAAAAAGAGCTGAAAACCAGGACCAGACCACCCCTACAACAAGCCTTCATTCCAGGGACAATCTGCCAAGCTGTCTCCAAACAAAGGAGAGAGCAGAAAATGTGGTATTTATACACAATGCAGTGCAACACTACCATAAAGAAATATAAACTTGAGGCATTCATAGGTAAATGGATGCAACTTGCGAATATAACGTTGAGTGAAGTGAGATGCACAAGCTTAAATATTTCATAGTTTTCCTTATGTGAGAAACACGATAGGTAGATAGATAGCAAAATAAAAGAGAGATAAATAGGAAGTAGGGAGTACATATGCTTCCTCAAATTACCTATCCTGTTGATTCAAAAATATTTCAATATATGTACTAATTTGTTTCTTTTATACTACTAGTTTATCTTAGTTTGATGAAAAGCAAGTTTTGCGTTATTACCAGTTTTTTCTCTGTGAAAATCTTTTTGATCTATGTCATGTACCCTGAGTAACTACTTTGAAGATAATTATACATGTGTATTAACTATTGTTATTTTCATATCATTTTGTTATGAAATTTTGGGGGTTTTTAAGATAAAAAATTAAATAAAATACAGTTACAAATAAAAGGACATATATCTGTTTTTAACATGATGGAGAAAAAAACTGAGCCTGATTGTCCTGTTTTTTCTTTAATCTCTCATGCTGTATAGTTCATCCCACTGATACAAATCTCAGTCCTGCTATTTCTATCCATGAGATTGGTGCTGTTGGAGCAACCAAAACAGAACGAACTGGGATCATGCAGTTAAAAAGTGAGATAAAGCAGGTAAAGATGTTACCTGGGAGATTACCTGGGCTATTGTAATATTTAAAAACATTCTTTTGAAATCAAATTTTGTTAGGATTATTTATTTAGTTTTATATCTTGAAGATAATTTGAGCCATTTATTTTTCAGGTGGAATTTCGTAGACTGTCTATCTCAACTGAAAGTCAGGTGATACTACTAGGGATCATTTAACATACTTTAACTTGTCTTTAGTTCTACATAATATGCATGTGCTCCTAGCCTTTTTACAAATAATGTGCAATGAAGTCATTTGTTTGGACCTCCTTCATAATAATAATTTGTAGATAGCTTTCCTTTTGCTGGACTAAGCTACTTTGCTAATTTTAGGAGGGAAATAACTTGCATCGTGTATCAAGAAATTGAAACCCTGAGTTGCTCTTATTAAGATTGACATTCAATTTTGAAATTAATTTTCTTTATAAAACTACAATTAGACTTATTGCTTTCAAGAATATGTACTAGAAAGAATATTAGATTGGGTGATGACATCATTTTTTTAAAAAGCTAGGCATGGTGGAACACACCTGTGATCCCAGCACCCTGGGAGGTTAAAGCAGGAGGATCACAAATATGAACCCAACCTGGGCAACTTAGTTTGACCTTAACTCAAAATGGGGTGGAGGGGTGTTGGGGATGTAGCTCACTGTGAAAGCCCTAAGTTCAATCACTAATGGGGAGACAGGAGTCTGTTTTCAAGTGTACTATGCATAAGGCCCTGGGTTTGATCTCCAATACCACAAAAATAAACAAAATAAATATAATTTTCCTGTTTTGTTCCCAAATCAGACTTTTACCATTGCCATGAGAGAGATATATGAAAAGTATTGTGGACACGCAGAGGAAATGGATCTAAATCAGTCTGGGAGTTGGTGGGAGTTACCAAACACTATATTATAGCTTCTTACTTTCCCCTGCAAGTGACTGTAGATGATTTTGCTGCTTTATGCAAAGAAATAGTTAATGCAAATTTTCATAGTTTCTTTTAAAATTCTGGTAAATCATTTGGTTTAATGATCTTCAAGTTGAGGAGGGACTGATTTGGTCCCTCCTAGGAGCACATCTTAATGAAGAGCTTTCAGAATCAAATTATGAAAGCTTACAGCATTAAAACACATCTGGAAGAGGAGAGGTGAAATAAAGAATTTGTTCTCTTTTTAAAAGGAAATCAGAAATCATTTAGGAAGAGAATGAGCCAATGCTTAAAGTTTAATTTGAAACAAACAATTTGAGGACATTCATCAAATATCTTTTTGCCTTTACATTTATGCAAAGGCAGAATGAAATTAAAGGGCCTTGTGTTTTTAAAAAGGTGTTGTGTTTACAAGTTTTCCCAGATAAATTGAATAATCTGAACATTTCCTACTTCAAAGGAAAAAGAACATTCAATACTGAGTAAACTGATGTCAGTTAACAATCCTCATTTTTGTTGACAGAGATTAGCTAAATATTTATAATTGTTTTTAATCATACAGTATTACTTATAACTTCATTACAGAATCTGGTCTGTGTTCCCAGCTGAATTAATATGATATTAAGACTTGATCTACCTAGCTACTTCATTTAGTTTTTTTTCTATACATCCACCATCTGTAGGTCTCCAATGGAGCCCCAATTATTAGGATTATAATTTAAATTAGAGAATTGAGAGCTCTAAATTTTCAATACTTTCTTATTTCTAAATATTGATTTCCATCCTCATTTCTCTGTCTGTTTTATATTTTTCTAATCATTTTTCTCTCCTACTCATCAGTGCTCTCTTTTCTGAGCAAAATGTTTTTAAGGTAGTTTTACTTATTTTACAATTTACTATGACATCTAGAGTAAAGTTATTTCATCAGCTTTTAAATGACAGCATGGCTGGCTAGTTACTTAAATGATCCATACTTTTATACTACTACTAACTTTTAAAAACACAAATAATGGTTGCCTTGCCTTATCCCTTTAAAAATTTCTTTTCTTTTCTTTCTTTTTTTTTTTCATAGTCCAATGGTGGTCATCCCTCCGGTATAGATGTGATGTCACCGTCTTTTCTGGTAACTCCTATTATCTTGTATTATGTTCCATTTGCAAGTGATTTGACTACGCTGCGGAAAAATATAATTAATCAAAAACTAAAATATGCATAATCAACTTAAAAATCAACATAATCAACTAAATGGGGAGAAGTCTATTCCTTTCCTAATAAAGGAGGAAAGAGAATTCAACTCCAAACATTTCAGAAAACAAATTCAATTTAATAAGTATTTGTTAAGTATATACTCTTTCAACTAGTGTTATTTATTACATTCTTTCTGTGGCACTAAGCAGTGAACTAGACAGTATCACCCTCCCTGGTAATTTATTTGAAATGCTAATTCTTGGTACCTATCCTAGTCTTAGGTATACTGAATTGAAAATCTGGAGGTGAGGCCTAGCAACCTGTGTTTTAATAAGCTTCTTTGGTGATACTGATATATTTTCATCTCAAAACCACTATTCTTCTCAGTTGAATTCATTTAGTAAATGTTAATTGAGTGCCACCTTTATGTCAAGCACTGACTATACAGTAGTGAACAAAATGGGTGTAGTCTTTGCTGTCATGAAGCTTATAGTCTAGGAAGATTGATATTTAAATTTCTTGGGTTTAAGTCAATGATTCATAATGGCCTATGATTTCAGATCTCAAGGCTAAAGAGCTTTAGGCCAGATACTATCAAAGAGAAAAATGGAAAACTATTAGAAAAAATTCCTTGGTTGGACTTAACCAAATGCTCTATAATGAATTAATAGCTGTCATATCCACATTAATAGAGGCAAGAAACATAGAAGAGAACTCAAAACTATTAATACTTCTTTTTAGAAAACAGTCTGAATTCTACTTTATCAGATACATACACTTTCTGGTTTGCCTTCACTATCATCAGCCCAGGTTCTTGGTGGTAGAGATAAGACAATAAAAATTAGCTGAACAGGGCTGGGGATTTAGCTCAGTGGTTCTGCCAACTGCCACTCAAACACAAGGTCCCAAGTTCAATCTGCGGTACAAAAAAAATTGAACATTAGTTCATCTGTTTGACAGATCTGTGTGATAGTCATTTATCAAGAGAAATGTTTTAGCGCACTCTTCTCTTTTACATAGCAATGCTTGTAGGCAATTAAAATGTGAAGACCTCTTAAAAGTATTTCTGTTATCTTCTTTTTATATTTATTTCTGGATCTAAACTGTCAAATAACCACTCTCACCAGTGTATTTCATTCTTTATTTAGTATTTTTTTTCAAAGTTCATTATGTTGTAATATGTATCAATACTTCATTCTTTTTTATCGTGGAATAATATCCTATAGTATTGGCATACCGCATTTTATTTATCCACTCATAAGTTGATGAACATGATGTTGCTATGAAGCTTCATGTATAAGTTTTTATATGGACATGTCTTCATTGTTTGGAGATGTGTATCTAGGACTGGGAGTACTGGGTCATATGTGATTATGTTTAGTATTCTGAGGAACTGCCAAGCTTTTCTAAAGGTGCTGCACCATTTTCCATTCTCACCACCAATATATGACAGTTCTGACTTCATCACATCCTCACCAACCCTTATAATTGTCTTTTTTTTTTACCAAAGCCCTCATAGTGGGTGTGAAGTGGTATATCACTGTGGTTTAGGTTTGCATTTCTAAGCATATGGAACAACTTCTGAACCTCTTGGCCATTTGTTTATTTTCTTTGGAGAAATTTCAGTTCAGATCCTTTGCCTACTTTTTAATTGGGTCACAATGATTCTTTATATATTCTGGCTAAAATTCCCTTATATGATATGTGATGTACAAATATACTCTCCCATTCTGTGGGTTGTATCTTTGCTCTCTTAGTGATCTTCTTTGAAGAACAAAAGTTTGTGATTTTGGCAAAATCCAATTTATTTATTTTTCTTTTGTTGCTCATGTTTTTATTATTGTATCTAACAAGACTTTGCCTAATTAAGGTCACAAAGACTTAATCCTATTTTTTATTCTAATAGTTTCATAAATTTAGCTATAAAACACAAGATGTACCCTTTTTCAAAATTTAAGTGTGCAATACAGTACCATTAATATAGTCGTGAAATTCTAAAGTAGATCTCTAGAACTTATACATCTTATATAGCTGAAACTTTATGCCCATTGAACAGCAAGTCCCCATTTTCCCCTTTCCCTAGCCCCTGGCAACCACCATTCCAATCTCTGCTTCTGTGAATTTGAATATTTTAGATAGCTCACGTCATTGAATCATGTAGTATTTGTCCTTCTGCAACAATTTTATTTCACTTAACACGTTCTCCAAGTTTGTCCATGTTATATACCATAAGATTTCTTTCCTTTTTTGGTAAGGCTGAATAATATTCATATATACTATTTTTAAATTTTTGAGAAATCTTGATACTGTTTTTTATAGTGGCTGCACCATTTTACATTTCCATCTTCAGTGTACATTTCCAGTGACAGGAGTTCCCTTCTCTCTGTGTATGTGCCAACACTTGTTCTCATTAGACTTTTTAATAATACACATTCTTACCGAGGTGAGGCGATATTTCATTGTGATTTTGAGTTACATTTCCCTGATGATTAGTGGTGTTGGATATTTTTCATGTATGTGTTGATCACTCACATGTCTTCTTTAGTGAAATATTTATTCAAGTGAAATATAATGATTTTACTATTGATCTTAGCTCATGAAACTTTACTAAACTCATTTATTTGTTGTAGTTGTTTTCAGTGAATTCCTTAGATTTTCTATGTATAAGACCAGGCCATCTTGAAACAGAAATAGTGATACTCCTCTCTTTCCCATCTAGATACCTTTTGTTTCTTTTCTTGTTCAATTACTCTAGCTAAAACCTCTACTACGAGGTTGAATAAAGTGTCAAGGTAGGGTATACTTGTCTTCTTCTGTTCTTAGGAGGAAAGCATCAGTGATTGTTAGTGTTGCATTTTCAAAAAAATGTGTAACATCTTGTTAAATTGAAGAAGTTGCCTTCTGTTCCTTGCTTGTTGAGTATTTTTATCATAAAGGAATGTTTACTTTGATAAATAATTCTTGGCTACAACTTGCATTTATTCAAATTATATGGTTTTTATTTTATTGATATGGTATATTAATTGATATTTGGACATTTTAAAAACCTTGAATTCCTAGAATAAACCCCACTTCATAATGGTATGTAATCATTGAACTCAGTTTGCTTCTATATTGTTGAGGATTTTTGTATTAGGGTATTGGACTGCAGTTTTTATTTTCTTGTTATGTCTTTGAGTTTGGTATTGGGGTAATATTGGCCTCATAGAATGAGTCAGGAAGTGTTTACTTCTCTTTTTTGGAAGGTTTATAAATAACTAGTATTATCCATCTTCAAATGTTTTATAAAATTAACCAAAGAAGCCATCTGTGTTTGGGTTTTTCTTCATAGGAACCTTTGGACTTACTAGTTTGATCTCTTTGTTATAAATCAATTGAGATTTTCGGTTTATTTTTTAATTGGTTTGGGTAATTTACATATTTCTAGGAATTTGTCCATTTCATGTAGGTTATGTAATTTGTTAGCATATGACTGTCAGTGGTATATCCTATTACCCTCTTTAGTCACTATATGTAAGGTTGGAATTGATATCATTTCTTTCTTTCATCTCTTTTCTTGGTCCATCCACATAGAGTTATCCATTTGTTGATATTTTCATAAAACAAATTTTGGTTTTATTTATTTTTCTGTATTATTTTTCATATTCTGTCATTTCTGGTTGTTTTGTTTTGTTTGGTTTGGTTTGGTACTGGAGATTGAACTTGGCACCTTGCACTTGTGAGATCTGTCATTTCTTTCTACTCTAATCTTTATTATTTCCTTCCTTCTGCTTGCTTTCATTTTAACTTGCTCTTACTTTTTTGTTCCCCTGAGGTGGAAGGGTTAGTTATTGACTTGAAAACATTTTGAACACAAGCATTTATAAATATCTATTTTCAGCACTGCTTTATCTGTATCCTATAAGTTTTTGGATTTTTTTTTCATTTTTATTCATGCCAGAGTACTCCCAATTTTCCTTATGATTTTTTCCTTAATACATTGGTTGTTTAGGAGTATGTTGATTTCCAGGTACTTTCTAGCTTCCTAAATTTTTTCCTGTTACTGATTTCTAACTTAATTATATTGTGGTTCAGCAAAGGAAGCCACCAAAAGAATGAGGAGACAACCCACCGAGTGGGGAAAAATTTTGCCAGCTGTTCCTCAAACAAAAGACAAGTATCTAAACTATATAAAGAACTCAAAAAATCAGAACTCCCCAAGTTTAAATACTCAATGTAAAAATGGGCATCTGAAGTAAGTAGACATTACTCAGATAAAGAAGTAGAAACAGCAAATAAACATAAGAAAAAATGTTCAACATCATTGATCACTCAAGAAATTAAAACAACACTGAGATTCCATCTCACTCCAGAAAGAATGGCTATCATCAAGAAATCAACGAATAAAAAATGCCGGCAGGACTGTGAGGAAAAAGAAACCCTTCTCCACTGTTAGTGAGAGTGCAGACTGGTGCAGCCACTGTGGAAATCAGTGAAGAAATTCCTCAAAAAACTAACACTAGAGGTTCCATTTGACCTAGATATTCCCTTTCTTGGTATCTTCCTGAAAGAATTAAAAGCATCATATCACAGCGATATATGCACACCCATGTTTATGGTGGCAAGCTTTGTAATACCTAAATCTTAGAAATGGCCCAAATGCCCATCAATGGATGAAAGGATAAAGATGTGGGTTTTTTTTAATAGTGAAGTACTACTCTGCCGTAAAGACATTTCTAGGTAAATGGATGCACCTTGAGACCACACTCTAAAGTGAAGAAAATCAGCCACACATGTTTAAATGTAACATTGTTTCTCTGGTGTGAGAACCAAAAGGGTAAACAAGAACCACAATGTATAGCAGATATTGTGAAACAGGCAGAAAATGTTCAAATGGAAAGGGAAACAAGGGAAGGAGGAGGGGGAAAGAAAAGGAAAAGAAAAACTAGAAGCAAACCTTTTGTAGATAAGGAGGCGAAGAGGGGTTGAAGGGAGGGAATTGGGAAAAAAAGAAGAATCAAGATATATTATGTATATTATGTACAGGTACAAATTTCCTGTGATGAATGTGATCGTTACGTATATCTAAAATATACCAATAAAATTAATTTTTTAAAGTAATTGCATTGTAGTTTGAGAACATACTTTGTATGATTTTCATTCTTTTAGATTTGTTGAGGCTTATGTTATGGCCCATGACAGCAACAAACTAAGCCATAGACCAGCTATAAGCTTAATAGAAATAAACAGGTAAAGATACAGTTACAAATGTCCTGTGTCATCAGAATTTTTATGGCTCTTCTTATGTATCACCAGAATGTGTTCTACAAGGATGATACAAATGTACAGCAATACTATTAGTCTGTTTCACTTAATATATGATTTATAATTCTGCAGAATATGTTTCTTGTTCACTGTGCTACATATTTTATCAGAGAAAAAGATACTACTTTTGATCTGTGTTCTTTCCTATTCTTTTCTCTCAAGTCACCTGGAACCTGTATGACCCCAAGTAGCGGGTCCTTTCCTAGTATACACGCTCAACAAACATCTAGAGATAGTCGTCAAGGCCAATGGCAACGTCGGAGGAGACTGGATGGAGCACTAAATAGAGTCCCAGTTGGATTTTATCAAAAAGTGTGGAAAGTTTTACAGAAAGTAAGCATAACCCATTGTTGAGATCTCTTTTATTTTCCCCCCTTGAAGTCAGGCTCCTTGAATGAGATATGATATAATTATTGCATCATTATAATTATGTAAAGATCATTACATTCAGAGCAACAAACAGATGAAAACATAGAAATGAAACAACTGATACATTACTGTGACATTATTGATAACAATCTGTTTCTGTTATTGTTACAATGGTGTTGTTTCTAAATTCAGTTTTTATATCATGACTTCTTCGCTTTGGGCTATAGTTAGACATTGTGATAGATTTGTTACTAGTGAAATGATTTGATGCTAAAGAGCTCCTTTCTTTGTAGCTTTATGGACTGGAAATATTATTTGTAGTTATAACCACATACCACTACAGTAAAGCAAATGCAACATCTGGGAAGTTTGTTTAAGGAGCTGTTACCTATATTTTTCTTGGATGAAAGCTACTAAACAAATGCAGAATCATAACAGTTCTTATAGTCCCAAGACTCTCTTGGTATAATCAATATTTTTTTTCAAAGGCCTATGTAAGAGCACATCATACCATTGTGGTGTTGCAGTTTTGGAGGGCCAGGAAAATTGTTGTGTTCATAGGTCTCATTACTCATCTCTTTCATTGCCCTTGATAAAGACCTGAAGAATGCTTTATCTCATTCTTCAAAACTTTTATGTATATTTTTCCCCTCAGCACACTGACAATATTTCTAGAGATGATCAGGTGATATTGGGGAAAAGGTAAAAGTTGACTACTCAGATTACTGGCTCTGATGATCTTCCTTTCAAAGAGTATCTATTTGGAACTTCCTTTCATTCCAGCTAACTGCTGTAGCACAGTGGCAACAAATATGTTTTATCTCTCCAGTTATGCATCAATTATGGCAATTCAATTTAACAGACATATATTAGGAATTGTTCTGCCCAGATGCCATGTAAGGACCATGTAAAATATACGTTCTTTGTCATCAAGTAATTGAATCTATAGTTACCTTCTTTAAACACAGCTAAGAGCTGACCATTAGAGTATACGTGTAATCCCAATTACTCAGGAGGCTAAGGCAGAAGAAGCGAGGTCAGCCTGGCCAACTTAATGAGACCCTGTCTCAAAATAAAAAGGTCTGAAAAGTAGTTCAGTGGTAATGTACTTACCTAGTGTATGTAAGGCCCTGGGCTCAATCCTCAGCAGCACCAAAAAAATATTACACCATAAATAAAAGGGAGAGAGAGAGAGAGAGAGAGAGAGAGAGAGAGAGAGAGAGAGAGAGCAAACAGTCAGGATGCAAGGCAAAAATGATTTGTAATAAAGGTACCTAAGCACAAAGCTGTAGGAGTACAAAAGAGGGATTATGGCTTGTGTATACATGTTCCCCCCGAAACCTCATTCAGTCATAAGTAGCACTTTTTGGAGGTGGTTGGATCTAGAGTGTCTGATACTGGGATTAAGGATGTGATGCTGGGATTGATTCATGGTGTGATGCTAAGATTAAGACTGCCCCACCCTGGGTATGAGTTCTACCCACCCCACGGGCGGGTAGCCTTGTTAGAATATAAGGACAGAAAGAAGGCTGCTGTAAGTACTTGTAGCTTGCTGCCTGCTATTTCACTGATTGCTGCCTTCTGCCTACCATGCTACTGAATATTTCTTCTCTGTGATGTGCCTGTGCCATGCCTCCCTACCTTGGAGACAGCCAACTATGGAATGAAACCTCTACAAACTGTTAGCTGAAATAAACTTTTCCTCTAACTTTGGTTGTTGGATATTCTGTCTTAGCAATGAGAAAAATAACTAAGAAAGAATTTGGTACCAAACAGGTGGAGTCATTGCTGTGACTGTACCTGAGCATATGGTTCAGGAGCCTTTGGAACTGGCTTGTGGGAAGAGTTTGGAAAGGTTGGGAGATGCCAGCTGAAGAAGTAGCCTTGGAATGCTTTAAACTGTACTTGATGGGAAATTCTTGTCAGATCTTAGAAGACCAGAAGGCTGATAGAAATGCTGCCAGTAAAGGTCAGGCTCTGGAGGTTTCTACTGGGAAGAAGGACTGCATTGGCCTTTGAGATGATGTGTATTATGCCTTGGCAAAAAGTTTTCTGTATTTTGCTTGTATCCAGAGACTGCCTGAGACTAAGATTAAGGGTGGTTGACTAACCTTGAATAAGAATTGTAAAACAATCTAATGTTGAGAGACAGAAAGAGAGGGAGGGAGGGAGAGAGAGGGAGCGGGGGA